CCTCAACAAAATTTTCCTGTTGAAAAGGTTGAGCACCACTGAAATGTCCAACACATCAGATGCATGTGGCTACCACAGGCCTAGTCTGTGCTAGAAGGTGTAATTTAGTAGGGCCGGGGACTAGACTCGATGACCTCTCGAGGTCCCTTCCAGTTCTAGGATTGTAGAATTTCTTTTAAGGGTGTCCCCTTTTGGTTTCTTACCAGAGTAGTTACACTGATGTACCCCCTACTGGTGGCCATGTTACACCAGTATAAAGGTGCCTTGGAGCAGTCTAGCTTAGTCCCTTCCCCGTACGTGTACAATCACTTCTGTACCAATGTCTGTACAGCCGGGTTCATGGCGATTGTAATGCTGTCGCTATAATGGTACAACTTAAGCGTTGCAATTCTTGCGTGGAGACAGGCTAGTTAGCAGCAGGCTAATTATGCACCTACGCTACAACCCGGCTCATGCCGATGTAAGTGCCCTAGTACGCCGACAGCATAACTCCCCTTTCACCGGAAGGGTAGCGCTTTTGTCAGAGTCGGCATGTCCTTAGCCCATTGAGAGCCATTGTCCCACAGGGCCTCGCTAATTAGCATGTCCATAGGCCGGGCCCTGCCCAGTGCTCAACCACACGCAGAGAAATATTCAGTATCCGTACAAAGTACATGCTTATAATTGCACACACAGACATTATACAAACACATGACCAGCGTACATAGGATTAGCGGACAGTGAGCTTCTATTCAACACCCCACATGGCCCCTTTTATACCATTTTTGGGGCAAACACCCTCACCTATGTGTGCAGCAGTGAGCTGGCTGCTACCCTCAAATTCGGTAACATGAAGGGGGGGAGCTGAGCCTGGGGTAGGGAGTTGAGGTGCAGGAGGGGGTTCAGGGTGCAGGCTCTGGGAGGAAGTTTGGGTGCAGGAGGAGGCTTCAGGCTGGGGCAGAGAGTTGGGGTGCAGGAGCAAGGAGGGGAATTTGGCCTAGCTTGGAGCCTCTTTCTGAACCCAAACTCTCCCCCAGAGCTCATGCCCCTCCTTCCCTCCTGCACCCCAATGTTCTGGGAGGGAGTTTGGGTGCAGGAAGGGGCTCCAGGCTGGGACAATGGTTGGTTCAGGACAGAGGGAATTTGGTAGCTGGCACAGGGGATAGGGGTGTGGGCTGCAGCTGAGAAGCATTTACCACAGGTGGCTCCTGGTTGGCAGCACAGTGGGGCTCAGGTGAGCTCCCTGTGACTGGACCCTGGCAGTGCTGGCTGAGTTCACATTCTGTGTGGCCTCTGCAGGTGGAAGGGGGAGGGGTCTCCCTGTGCTGCACGGGGGCTCAGAGCCTGCAAGTGCTGCCCCCTTTGGCTGAGGCTACATGAGGGGGCACCAGCTGTAAGCCTACATGTTAACCATTGCCCCACACTTGACTTCAGTGCCCCACTTCAGTCAGTGCAAGCGCGCCTCCTGACAGCGAAGGCAGCACGGACCCCAACAGTTTATTGAGTGATTGGGGTGGCTCTAGGTCGATCTGAATTAAAGTCGACCCATTTCGCAGTGTAGACAAGTTCTGAAATTCCCCACGGCACATGATGGGGCACATACGACCCTAATGTGCCCTGTCCTGTTGTTAAGGGTTTCATGATGCGCTACGCTGGCCATGTCGAGCACTGGATTGGCCTCCGAGGAGAATCCGGCCAGCCCCGGACATGGGTGAATGGGACCCAACTGAAACAGCAGCTGTGAGTCCATTTTTCTCTTTGCTTTCCCAGGGATCCATCGCAAGTGATGGAAATATTAGCTCGGGCAAGCCCACAGCTTCCCGCATTATAGCTTTCAGTGTTTAAACCCAGTGCTGAAAACAGGGCTTCACTTTTCTGTGGGCAAGAAGCAGCATGTGCCTCTGGACTTGGTCCATGTTCCCAGTGCCCTTGCGGTAGGAGTTAATCTCTGGAGGATTGGGTCCCGGGTGATGCATGTTTGGTGTGAAATGGTGATGCTAGAAGCTCTTTGTGATTCTTCGCTGATCGGAGCAGCTGCTGCACTTACCTTGCGCAAGAGCGGTGCCCTGCCTAGGTCTCACTTGACCTAGAGCCTCAGGAGTTTGGTGCCTAAATATTTCTATTGATATGAATGGAAATTATGGGTCTAAATATGTGCGAGAATCTGGGTTACTTATCTGAAAGTGCTAAAAAGACGTCTGATAATGCTCTGTCCTGGCGCATTGGAGTTTCCATGCTCTGCAAACTCAGGTAGGCATTGCTACATTAGCTACTCTCTGTGTCTATTTATCAAGTTTGTGTCCGTCACAAAGGGTAATTCTTCCCACCCCCAAATAGCTGAATATAGCAGTGCCATGGAAAAGTTCTGGTTGGCCGAGCTGCCAAGAACTGGCCTGTTTCTGCTCTCTATGTCCAATGGTTGCCTAAAATGTTTCCTTCTGTTCTGATCCTTGGTTGCCAGACTGGAATTTGGAGTCGGACCTATGCTTAACCATATGCAGAATACCTAGCTTCATAGAGCACCAGAGAATTTGGATCACCACTGAATTCTAATGTCCCCTCTCCTCTTCCTAGCCCTGTTCTGTGACTCTGCTTCTTCCGGAGAGGATCCAGTTAACTTAAAGTGACAGCCTTCCAGAGCTATTAGCACAGGCGACCCAGCCCCTCTTCCAGTTTTGCTGCTATATTTGTTTGTTGGCCTCGGTCTGTTCCTTTGTTTGTCTGTTTGGTTTTGTTTTTTTTTTTTGCTCAGCAAGTGTTGCTGCTATTGGGGGAAGAGGGGTGTGAGGCTTTCTCAAAAATCAAAAAGGGGTCATGATGCCAAAAAGTTTGGAAACCACTGTATTAGCAGAACCTGTGCCAGAGCCATTCAGGTGGTAACGAAGCCATTTCACAGGCATGTCCCGACCCCAGGTTTGTCCTGTCAGTTTCTGAATCTACCCTGTGAGTC